AGGTAATTACTGGTGTAGATGTTATGTTACAATGTCTGATGCTGCCTCCTTCACAAGGAGAAAATAGGTGGGGTAAGAGACAAAATGCTGATAACTCTTAATAAGTAGATGAGAGCTTATTATACCTGTATCTTTTCTCCACTTTTGCATCTATTAACTAACTTCTTTAATACAAAAGATTCCAAGAGCTGGGGTACAGCTCAATGGTAGAGCATGTACTTATACATGCTTGTGAGCTCCTAGGTTTTAATCCCCAGCACTCTTACACACACACACACACACACACACACACACACAGCATAAACAAATTTTTTGAAGAGATAAATAAGTGATGGGTGTATATAACCTTTTAATTTTTCAAACCATACTTTTTTTAATTTTTAAAATTTGTTCTAGTTATACATGAGAAACAGAAAACATGTTTGCACTTTTATATAACATACGTAAATGGAGCATAGTTTCTCATTATTCTGATTGTACATGTTGTAGAATAACATTAGTCATACAGTACATAATTTGTTCTTATTAATTATAGATGACAGCAGAATATATTTGGCTTATCATACACATAAGGAGTTTAACTTCTCATTCTTCTGGTTATACATGATGTGGAATTATATTCACTGGTCATGTATTTATATGAGCACATAGGAAAGTAATGTCTGATTTCTTTCTACTTCCTATTCCCATTCCTTCTACCTTCTCTTCATCCTTTGTCTAATCCAAAGTAGTTCTATTCTTTCCTACCCTCGCCACCTTAATGTGATTTAGTGTCCACATATCAGAGAAAACATTCAGTCTTTGGTTCTTTGGGATTGATTTATTTCACTTAGCATGATAGTTTCCAGTTCCATCTATTTACCAGTAAATGCCATAACTTAATTTTTTTTATGGCTGAATAGCATTTGATTATGTAAATGTACCACATTTTCTTTGACCATTCATCTGTTGAAGGGCACCTAGGCTGATTCCATAGTTCAGCTATTGTGAATTGAGGTACTATAAACACGATGTGGCAGCATCACTGTAGTGTGCTGATTTTAAGTCCTTTGGGTATAAAGTGAGGATATTGGGATAACTGAGTCAAATAGTGGTTTCATTCCAAGTTTTCTGAGGACTGTCCATACTGCTTTCCAGAGTGGTTGCACCAATCTGCAGTCCCACCAGCAATGTATGAATGTACATTTTCCCCACATCCTTGCCAGCATTTATTGTTAGTTGCATTCTTGATAATTGCCTGACTAGAATGAGATAGAATCCCAATGTAGTTTTAATTTGCATTTCTCTGTTAGAGAGGTTAGATATTTTTCATATATTTGTTGACTAATCACGTTTCTTCTTCTTTCTGTGACGTGCCTGCTCAGTTCCTTTGCCCATTTATTGATTGGGTTATTTGGGGGTTTTTGGTGTTAAGTAAAACATGCATTTCTCATGTCTGAAAATAAAGTGCTCAAAAAATCAAATTCTTTTACCAGTTACCTAGAACAGTTTGAAGAAAGGTTTTCTAGTTTAATCTTTCAGCAATACCTAACTTCCCTTCAAGAGTGGAGAAATAGGCCACGCATGGTGGCACACACCTGTAATCCTAGCAGCTAGGTAGGCTGAGGCGGG